TGTTTATTGGCATTACAACATGAGACACGTGACCCTGAGATAAACAAATCAATAGTCAGTCTTCTCCACCTGGTATCAACTGGCCGCTGTGGAAGGAACTGAAAAGGACCAGGCTAGTGCATGTAAGAACTTCACCTACAATATCAGCTTGAAAATGAAACTAAGTATGAACGCAGGAATTACTGAACATAATTATGTTCCCAGTCAATTCTATTGCACAGCTAATATCAGAAGGAAAGCTCTTCACGGAAGAGCAACCCTATTTTCTTCTGCACCTGTCAGCCTGACCCTGAAAGGAGAAAGAAAGACAGAAAGAAGAGAGAGAACGAATACTAATATAATAAAAATAATCTTTAATGCTGGTAGTCTACAAAATTCCAAGATTAGGTGAACCAGCAAATTTAAATGTGGATTACCATTATTTGTATATCACTAATTTAATGAGCTACTGGTTCATTTTATATTACAAAAATCAAGAACTACTATTTTGCTTGGTAAAAAAATTAACTGAATTTTACATTTGGTCTTTAGAATCTATCACTGGCCCTAGAAAGTAGTCTTTTTAGTGTCATTTCATATTTAAACTTAAAAGAGGCAAATATCTGAATTTTTAAAATGCCATTCATTTCCAAATGAGCATGGTCACAGATTGTGTTGGGGTTTCTTCAAATGGTGTGTGTTCATATACAACATTCATGATTATTTTTCCCTAGCAGGCCATAATAGTGTAACAAAATATCTTGTCATCCCTTTGTACCTTGTGCTTTAAATTTCCTAAAACCTACAAACATACAGATTATAAATTAAGCAATTCAAAATAAGCATCAATCGTTCTGTAAAAACATTAAGTGGAACTAGTACACTGACTTCTTTTTATTTTGACTTTTATTCTAAAGTCTTAACTTTAACATTTTAAAATAAATAGACAACTGGCAGGGGGTGGTGGCTCACACCTGTAATCCTAGCACTCTGGGAGACCAAGGCGGGAGAATTGCTTGAGCCCAGAAATTTGAGATTGCAGTGAGCTATGACGACGCCACTGCATTCTACCTGGGGCAGCAGAGCAAGACTCTGTCTCAAAAATATTAAGTGGAACTAGTACACTGACTTCTTTTTATTTTGACTTTTATTCTAAAGTCTTAACTTTAACATTTTAAAATAAATAGACAACTGGCAGGGCGTGGTGGCTCACACCTGTAATCCTAGCACTCTGGGAGACCAAGGCGGGAGAATTGCTTGAGCCCAGGAATTTGAGATTGCAGTGAGCTATGACGACGCCAC